TGAGCAGAGCAGTTCAGCAGGAAGGCTCCTCATCATAGTCACTCGAGGGACCCCAGCTTGCAGATGCTCCATCTCAACACACAATTCCACAGTTGCTGGGTTAAGTGGAAGGGAATGTGGCAAATCACACACTGGCTCTTGAAGCTTGCACCTGGGGGAAACATACTTCACTTCTGCTCATATTTCATTGGCCAAAGCAAGTCTCTGGTATTCCAGGTATTCCACCTTCCCTTGACTGATGGTTTAGTGCCATTGGCTTTGCAGTCCCTCTAACAAGGAAAGGTCAAGATACCTACTTCAGAAAAGGCTAAACACCTCTTTGCCACCCATAGGTGGCTGCCTTCAAGTTTTGGCAAGATGACATGCTTATTTTGCCATGCCTAGGACATGAACTTGTTTTACCTCTTTGACCAAGCCCACTATGACAGAAAGCAACTTATTTTATGTATTAAGAGAGAAATTTGAAGACAAATTTTTTAAAAGATGTTTAAGTAAATGTCAGTCACTTGGGACTCATGGGATAAACATGAAGACCAGAGTTAGTTTCTACATTCGAGGAAAATATGAAGGTACAATCCAGGTATGATTATTTCAAGTTTGTAATAAACAATTGCTAGAATAATTCTCTACATTTAAATACATGAAATAATTGTTTTTTAAATGTAAAAAAAATACCCTGTTAAAGCACAGGAACCTTGACTATAAGACAAAATTCAAGGTAGATTAAGAGAAGTATATTGGTCAAACTGGGTGATCACAACACACACAGAGGTAATGGAGTATAAATAAAAAGATTGAAGGTGTAAATATATTTAAAGAAGTATTGCTATAAAATTAACATTTAATATTTGTAACTTTTTAGTAATTTTACTTGTTATTCTTTTTAAAAGGGATATAAATATTTATAACCTGTATCTCGGGAAAAGTGTGCTTATTTTTGTTCAGACTTCATATATTAGGTTACATTGTCTTCTGGTTCCAAGGCACCCTCATGTCAGGAACACAAAATAAGGACTTTTAATTGCTAAATATGAACACCTAAGGTAACGAAGTGAGAGTTAACGATAAAATAGCTAGCATCCCCATGAGAAGCTTCTATTTCTGTTGTTCTCAACATAATAATATTGAATGTCATGCAATAGTTTTGCCCTTATTCTATAACACATGTGATTATGTGACAATAACATACTCTTATGTCTAAGGTAGCCTACCCCTTTTTGGATGCAATCCAAGACAAATTCCTGATATTCTAATTTTTTTTATACAGCTTTTAGCAAGGCATTAAAAGATTGACATTTAGATGGTATTTGGCCCAGAGGAGTTAGAATACTTCAGTACTCTTAAAGTCATCATCATCACACCACAAAGGGAAATAAATTCACCAAAGGAAATACATGCACCAAAGACAATTCTTGCAAGTTAATATTACTCCAAGGCTATGGCCCCAAATCCCAATGTAGAGTTTCTATGAGGTAGACAACCGTATGAGTAGACATGATTTTTCCTAGAAATACAAATCATTCTAGAACAGAACTGTCAGCTCTTTTCTTTTTCTCACTAAAACTACACACTAATACTAAAAGGAAAAAAAAAATAAAGGTAGATGTCTCTAATTTAGGTGGGCCTTTGGAAGTGGTAGAGATTGAGAGTAGAAGGAACACTCTGAGGGCTTGTTCACCTCACTGTTCTGACATCCCAAGAGAAGAAATGAACTATAACAGATCTTTCTTATGTGTCTCTTTGGTTAACCTTTAGGATGGAGTAGGATTAACCAATTGTGAGGGTGGTGTAGGTGAACTGTGCATATAGAAGAAATCGCTATGGTCTTCTGCTCTTCTTAAAACAATTCTATGATAAAGAGGCATTTATAAGGGCTGGAAAAGAATGGTTATATATTCAAGTGTATGACCAATAGTGCCTTCTACATTACACACACTTAAAAACTTTGCCTTGATTTATTTAAATTAAAAAAGTAATGTTTACATTTTTTTTTTTACATTTAAATTGTTTGTAATTCTGGCTTTCTAGACCCAAGAGTATACCAAATCTTTGTAGAAATTAACCATGTACTCTTTGCCTGCTAATTCCCAACTGTGAGTTTATCATTTAATTATTGCCTAAAGTCATATGTATTGAAGTCACATAGCAATATCCTTTAAAACATTTTGTCCACGCTGCTTGCAGCTGTCTTAATTTGAGCATACAAAATGGGCATCCACTCACCCCCACCCCCGATATCTACATTTATTAATCCCAGTGAAGTTATTTTTTGGTATCGGGGGTATGTTTCAGGCCTAAGTGGTATAGCAGAAATACTTATGAGCATTAGATATCCAAATCACATCTTCCAATTTAGAAGACCTATTATACAGGAACTTGATAAGTTTACATTACTAACTATTGAGAACTATTTATATGTTAGGGACTGGAAATAGTTACTTAAATATACAGTATTTCTCATGCTCAAAACTGCCCCAATAAGTATAAAAACTTATCAGTATGTTAAAGTGAGGATCCTGAAGCTGAAAAATTAATTTGATGAGTCAAACTGCAAGATAACACTGAGATTAGAATCTAAGTCTGTTTGAATCTCAGAGACCAGCAAGATTATATAATAACAGCAATCCTCATTTTCTTATCTATCAAATGGAGATAACTATACATATGCATATAGATAGAATGATGATTATGTTAAATACTGTATCTGAACAAGCTCAATGGCTAAAATCTTCAAGAGGGACCTATAGTCATTCTGCCAGCTAAGACCTCTTACAAGCTGGTGACCCTGGGCAAATCATAACTTCCCTTCCTCTGTTTTCTTCATCTGTAAAATGGGCATAATAACAGTAATTTTTCCATAAGTTTTTCTGCAAGGATGTCAACTGCCTAGAATTAGACCTAGAATAAGAATAGTAGGAGCTTAATTAAATATTTGTTATTAAGTATTAATAGTAAATTTAAAAATACCTACTATCACTTCATCTAATATTAAGCATACTTAATAAAGGATGAGGATGAATTTGTTTAGGATTCCATAGAGTTCAAAGTCTTGTTTAGAAGTTTGGATATTACTCCTTATTTTTATTTCTTCATTTTGATTCGAGATTGAAGGACTGATTTTTATCTGCAGGCTTTTTCCAAAACATGCTAGCCTTCTTGATGTAATTTCCTATACATCATTCAGTGTATCATTGGATAATGTGCTGAAGAGTATAGTAACGTCTCAAGAGACAGTGCAAACTCTAAGCACTCACAGGGGATCTCATTTTGTCATGCTCTTTAAAAATAATCTCTATGCTTAATTCCCTGCTGCCATCCATTCAATCAGTTCGAATTGCAAGTGACACTCGGTGCCTAAAACTTTTTAAGTTCTGGTATTTTTATATTCTAATTTCAAAAAAACAGATACATATGTGATAAAATTTATGTGCTAGCCTTACTCACTTGAGCCAGCTGGCCCAACATGGGGTTTTGGGAAGGTTTTAAACTACTAAGCTTAATAAATTCTTTAACTACTTTTTTGCATTTCATTAAATTACACTTGGAAGTGCTTGCTGATTAGCCACTTCACAGAGACAGTGAAGTTAAAGTTATTAAAATATCTTCAATGCCTTGGAGGAAGTATGTTATTTAGAGAAATAACAAAAACTGAATTGCTTATAATTTTACTTAGTGTTGTACTTCCCCCTACATCCCCTCCTTGCAATGCTTCCAGAAGTACAAAGAATCTGAGTATTCAGGAAGATTTTGTTTCTTATTCTTGTGTATTTTTAGAAATGTTAATGGACCACACTTAAATATAATTTTACGGGTTCTGAGAATATGCACTTAAAATTAATTTTAAAATATAGCATATAGCATATCTCTATTCTTTGGCATGTTTAGACATGAGAGATATAAACACACCAACATGTATTATCAATTTTCAAAAAATAAGAACAGAAGAAAAAAATCAAGCTTTAGATTTCACATAGTATAATCTCTCTTTAATGATTCAGAAAACATTTAAAGACTGAAATGCCATGTGGTCAGTATTATGAACATAATTTATCTCTGTAACACTTCTTTTCTACAGATTTTTAGAGGTGCCAAATGAATAGCATACTCCAGTTAATCAACTATAATGTTCTTCCTTTTAAGAATTCTAATTTAGAGCAGTGATTCTCAAAGTGTCCCCAGACCAGCAACATCAGTATCATCAGAGAGCTTTGGGCCTTTCCCAGACCTACTGAATCAGAAATTCTAAGGGATGGGGCCCAGCAATCTGTTTATCAAGTCCTCTGGTTGATTCAGATGCAGCTAAACTTGAGAACCACTGAATTAGAGATTCACTATGGAGTAAAAGAAACATGTGCTTATGACCTTGATCCTTTGGGTTATTGACTATAAAGAAACAATGTCAGGCATTGGGCAGCCCCTTTAAAGTCTGGGTCTTAAGCAGCAATAAATTTGGAAGGAGAAATTTTGTTTCTACTAGGGGCAGTAGATAGTTACAAGGCTTGAAGAGCCTCATGAGGAATGTTACTCTAGATCAAAATTTTTATGAACTTATAACCACCCAACAGTCCCATCACCTCAGCTTGGTTTCAGTTTTAGGGCATCCCAGAAGGGTAAGAGTACTTAAAGGGCCTTGGTGGTTATGGATTTCACCAGCTGTCTTAGGAGGTTCACTTAGATTTCTCCTATTTCTTTTGCATGAAATAAAGAATGAGGAGCTGTCTAAGGTTTTTTAAAATTAGAACTGAGGACAACTCAAATGACTATAAAATAAATTAAATTTCAGGTGTAGGAAAAAGAAAAGAACATTAACTGAATGTAGGGTTGCCAGATAAAATACAAGATTCTGTGTTAAATTGAAATTTTAGATAAACCATAAATGTTTTTTTTTAGTACAAGCATGTCCCATGCAATATTTGAAGGCATACTTATATTAAAAACAGTATTCGTGGGGCGCCTGTGTGGCTCAGTCGGTTGAGTAACCAACTCTTAATTCTCTTCAGTTCAGGTCCTGATCTTAGGATCCCGGGATCAAGCCCCACAGCGGCCACCTCATTCAGCAGGGAGTCTGCTTGAGTTTTCTCTCTCCTTCTCACTCTGCCCCTCCCACTCCTCACTCTGTCTCTCTCTCTCTCTAAAATAAGTAAATAAATCTTAAAGAAAAACCAGTATTGGTTATTTATTTGAAATTTAAATTTAAGACAATTTTCAGTCCTTTTATTTGCTAAATCCAGCAACTTAACCTTGTGTCTACTGTTTCTAGTTAATCCCCTCAACAGTCTTTTGGTAGTGTCATACTTCTTGCATTTAGTCAAACTAGGTATTTGTTGTTGCATTGCTAGGTTAATACACAGTTGTTGTTTGTTGTATTTGTCAAATATATCAATAATATGCAGGGTTTTAAAATATTTAGTTGGTAGAGGAAGACAAAGTATATATCTAAATAATAATTACATATTTTTGTGTGAATTATTTTCACCTAGAGAATGATCTTGTATCCTCTATGATTTTATTTGATATGAAAACTAAATATGACTCCATTTATCTTCCTAGTTTGTAAGAAAGAAAGTAGCAAACACAATTATTTTTGCAAATCTAACATTATATCCAATAAATTCTGGAGATTTAATATTTCTACCATAATTGGTGAACAGTTTTTAAAAGTAAAGAGAATCTTACATTTGAATGATTACAATAACACCTTTATTTATATGGTATTATAGTAGACAAAACCCTTTTATAGATACTATGTCTTTGATTCTTATCATTTTGATTTGTGAGATATGCTGTAAGAGAATATGCTACATAAATCATGTTTACCAATAAGAAAATGGAGGTGGAGAAATGCTAAGAGATTTTCCTAAGATCATGTTCTGGGAGAACTATTCTTTTTTATAATATGTTTACTTTATTTTATTTTTTTTTAAGTTTTGATTTTAATTCTAGACATCCAGCTCATCAGAACAAGTGCACTCCTTAATCCTCATCACCTCTTTCACCCATGCCCCATGCCCCTCCCCTCTGGTAACCATCAGTTGAGATGGTTATGGAGATACAGTTAAGAGTCTGTTTGTCTTGGTTTGTCTCTCTCTCTCTTTCTCGCTCTCTCTTTTTTACCCCCTTTGCTCACTTGCTCTGTTTCTTAAATTCCATATGTGAATGAAATTATATGGCATTTGTCTTTCTCTGACTGACTTATTTCACTTAGCATTATACTCTCTAGCTCCATCTCTGTCATTGCAATGGGAGAACTATTCTTAATATATGTCTGGTAAAAAATAATATTGTGTGCCTCTGAGATTAGCACCTCTGCATGCTTACATCACTGACTTCTCTTACAAATAAATAAATGTAGGCTCAGAAAAATAACTTGCTCCAGATCATCACATAATACATGAGAGAGCAGTGACACAGTATAGTGCTCTATCAACAATGCCATAAGTGGAACCCTTTTGAAGCATAAATAATGAATCCTTTATTTATCAATTCTGTGAAGTTCAGGAGTTGCTTTATTTTTAGAAACGATAAACTACGATTGTCTTAAATGCCTTTTTTCTCTGTAGTGAGTTGTCACGATTCATTTAAAGCTTGGGAGGAAATAAAATATAGCATAGGACCTTGATTGATAATAAATTCTCTCTGTGACAACATTGAGTCAGATGACAAGAGTCTAAAATTAGTCTTTAAATAAAGACCCATAGGTTCATAAGGCCAGAAGAATTAAGATATTACAAAAATCCATTTTTTTTAAAGATTTTATTTATTCATTTGAGACACAGAGATACAGAGAGAGAGCATGAGCAGGGGAGAGGCAGAGGGAGAGGGAGAAGCAGGCTCCCCGCTGAGCCAGGAGCCCGATGTGGGGCTCGATCCTAGGACCCTGGGATAATGACCTGAGCCGAAGGCAGATGCTTAACCATCTGAGCCACCCAGGCGCCCCTTACACAAATCCATTTAAGTTCTTGCTTCTGCTTAGGATGTAAAAAGCTAGAAAGAACATTGCTGCCACCCTCACAAGAAAAAGCTAAACAATCTACAAAATCGTAAGCTTTTATAGACCCATTAGAGAGTTGAAGATGTAGGACAACCAACTAGTCTGAAAAAAATGACAGGCTCCTTCAAGGAGATAGGACGTGGGGATTGGCTTATCTCGAGTAAATAAGTATCATAGGAGGAAAATGGGACCATCATAAAAGGAGGTAATGATTTCATGTAAAATATTTAATCAGTTGTGAATGTCAGAGTATGAGCTAGCATAAAAGTATAGAATTCCTTGCAACTGTAGACACAAGAAGAGTCAGCAACTAGTCACAGACCCTTCTCCATTTACCTAGCCGTATACTCACAAGAACAGAGACAGCTTCCATTAGTGGTGAAGGCCTTGGAAAGGGGAACAGTGTGTGTAGGAGAGACATGAATGCCAATATTGGATCATTTTCTCCTATTTCCCCTATGAAGCAAAAGTTTTACACCATTGAGGGAGGGGCAACAAACCCTCTTTGGGTCTGCACAGGTTAAAAAGCATTGAGACCAGGAGAAGAGAACAGAAAAAGCCCTCTACACTGGTGGAAAGGCAGAAAATAATCTTGGGTCCAGACCATTAGAGATGGGCTCTCCAGTGGGAGAGTAGCAGTAAAAAACTCTCTTCCACTCAAGACCTGTTAAAGATACAAGGCAGAGTTTGGCTACTATGAGGAGGAAGAACAGTATCACTGAGAAAGCCTCACCCCAGGGATATAAAGACACAGGGCTTGACTAAGACAAAATCTGAATCTGAGCAGGCAAGGAAAAACCCTGAAAACTGCCACTAGGATAGCAAGCATGGAGAAACAAGTAAATGTGGTCTACTGCTAGAGGAGATGGAAGAACATGGAGCTGTCTCTGAGATACATGCCGTATGAGAAAGTCTCATGTTGACATAAAACAGAAACATTGAGTAAAATGTTCTGGCAACGCAACCTCCAACCCAAATACAAGGAACACAAAAGGGATTTGATGCCTGTAGTATGCTGAAGCTAATAATAGGAACAACAACAACAAAAACAATAAAATCCAGCTCATTTCCTAACCAGATTGACTCCGTCTGCCCACAATAAAGGCTAAGCAAAAGAGGCATGCTCATTTTCAGGCATAACTACTATATATTTTACCCTTTACCGTCCTGTGTGTTATGTCTAGTTTTTGATAAAAAATTACATGGCACATGAAAAAGAAAGAAAAAAATACACTGTCAAAAGACAACGCATCAACCTGATCAGACTCAGATATGGCCCAGATTTTGGAATTAGCAAACAGAATTTAGGTATATGTACGTATACAAACAACCTTGAAAAGATAGTCCGGAGCAAAGGACAGTCTTCTCTCCTCTTGCAAGGCATATAGAACAACGGACACCAGTGGAGAATTGTCAACAATATACATTTTTCATTTCTACATTTTCTTGGCTTCTAGTGATATTTCTCTTGAGTGCACAATTCTGTTGGCCACTCTGACAGAAGCTAAGACCGCTCCATTCAACTATCATATAGCATTTAATTAAGGTTGTTACCTATAGGACTCTGAGCAGAAGGGTGAGTCCAACTAGCATCATTGAACTTAAGGATGACCCCAGGCTCCTGGAATGACCCCTGGGGATGACCCCAGGCCCCTGTTTTTTTCTTAGAAAAGCCAGGTGGCTTTCTCCGTAAGTTTCTGGATTAACTTGCCCCCTTGGCCTGAAGCATTAACTCAGGTACAGCAGGTTGTAGTAGTGGTTGCACTAACTCCATATTGGTCCACAAGGAGAAAACCTGGAGCAATTCTATATCCATACAAAACCTAGACAATAAGTCGAGACTGAACCAAATGCCTTTCAGGATTGAGGTAATGTCTTTGATTACTTCCTTCAGTTAGGGGACAATTTCCTTCCCACCTTTTCCAATTGGATGACATCATCATAGAGTTAAATACCTAATGGTTTGTCGTAAACTGTGAGTTATATGTCCCTCTAGGAAGTTCTCCTAAGTAACCAAGGATAGTCTCAGTCTGGAGAGATCTTTGCAGTCATCTGCTATATATGCAATCTACTGGGATTCCTTAAACATTTCAAGGTCTCTTATAATCATCCCTGAGATACAAGTCATCATGTTTTGGGGAAGGAGGCAAGTTAATTCCTGGCTTCCATAGAGTCCCTCTAATAAAATGATGTTCACAATTATTGGGCACCTCAAGTGGGACTTTCCTCAGTAGGAAGACACAATTTGACATTGCCTCCAAGTAACCTCCTGACTGGCTGGCTGGGAAACCTTAAGATTCCCAGATAACTGATATAATTGAAGCCAGTCCTTTCTTTTGGAGAGACAATTTGAGGGCAGTAAGTCCAACTTAATAATAAGTCCATGTTTAAATGCATTACCAGCCAGTCGGCATTTATCCACCCTGCAAAATAACTCAGTAATGTCAACAATAATGAAGATGGGAAAGAAATCAGGAGTTTTGATAGATGTTTTGTGTTGGAAATGTAGGGACTGGAGCCAATCCCTATGGCTTCTAATACTTAGTAAGGTTAGGGAACTGGTTGTTACATTTTGTCAGAGCCATGTGTCAGGGGATGGCAGACCCGGTAGTCAGTTACATTTAAGGTGCTTGCAACAGCTTGGGAAAGCTCATCAGGACCTTTTTCTTCATGGAGTTAATCTTCAAAGGTTATTTTGAAAGACAGAAATCATTAATATTGTTTCCTCCCCTATAAGTCCTGGAGCCTTCAATGTGTTTTCCATAGATGCCAAGGCTTTGCTTTCCCTTTTTCACCCCCAAATTGGTTCCTAGTCCAGTAGTCATAATATTGCTATCAGGGAAAAGAAAGAAGAGTCATGCCCAGGAATGTTAGAACAAAACATAAAATTTTCAAAATAGATCTCTATAGTTCTCGTCCTTTTCATCCTGACTATTATCTAGGAAGTGACCTAGGGAGATGATCCCTTTCAGGAGATAGCCACATTCAGTGACTAAATTACCTTTGTAAGGAAGAGATAAGGAAAGTTGAGTCAGAAATATTTCTAAG